TCCTCTTCTCTTCTGAGATCTAGGGTTTTTCTGGGTCTGTTTGTTTTTACTCTGCCTCTCTCTTTCTTTCTCTCTCTCTCTCTGTCTCTCTCTTTAATCAAGATTGGTCATGCCCCTGCCCTTTGAGGATTTTCAAGGGAAGGGGGTTCTGGGTTTCTTAGATTCTTCTTCGGAATACAAAGTCTGGGCGAATCGAGAAAAAATCCATGGCCGACGAGAAGATCTCTGCTATGTTGTCGGTGTTAACAATGGTGGTTTCCCGGAGCCGACGTCTGTTTTAGACTCTATTAGAAGTCCAAGCCCCTTCGTCTCTTCCTCAACTACCACGCTGTCTTCCTCTCACGGTGCTCCCAGCAGCGGCGCTGCTGGTGCCTTTTCCGGCGCCGATGGGAAATGCGATCAAATGGGTTTCGAGGATCTCGACGGTGTTCTCTCCGGTTCGCCGGGACAAGAACAGAGCATTCTCAGACTGATTATGGCCGGCGATGTAGTGGATCCGGGTTCTGGGTTCGCTGATTTCGACCCCGGTTCTGGATCTGACCCGGTTATTGATAACCCGAATCCACTGTTTGGCTATGGCTTCCCTTTCCACGAACCACCACCACCGGAAGAAGAAAAGTTTCAGATTACGACGAATCCAGAAACGCTGATAAACCCAAATCCCGGTTTTTTCTCCGTCGGGTCGCCTCCTCCTGCAAAACGGCTCAATTCGGGTCAAGTCGATTCCCATCACCACCGCCAGTGGGTTTTCCCGTTCTCGGATCCGGGTCACGAATCTCACGACCCGTTTCTCACGCCACCGAAAAATGCTGGAACCGAAGACGAAGACGACCATGACCAGTCGTCTGCGGTAATCATCGACCAGCTATTCAACGCGGCGGCGGAGCTTATCGGAACCACAAACGGCGGAGATAACAATCCCGTTCTCGCGCAAGGGATATTGGCGCGGCTCAATCACAACCTTAACAACAACACTAACAACAATCCTAAACCTCCGTTTCATAGAGCGGCTTCGTATATAACCGAAGCTCTCCAGTCTCTTCTTCAAGACTCACCATCGTCTCTCTCTCCCCCTCAAACCCTAATCCTTCGAATCGCAGCTTACAGAGCTTTCTCTGAGACGTCGCCGTTTCTACAATTCGTCAATTTCACAGCAAACCAGATGATTCTCGAGTCCTTCGAAGTGTTTGATCGGATCCACATTGTCGATTTTGATATCGGTTACGGAGGTCAATGGGCTTCTCTGATTCAAGAGCTCGCCGGAAGAAGAAACAGATCATCATCAGCTCCGTCGCTGAAGATTACAGCTTTCGCATCTCCTTCAACGGTCTCCGACGAATTCGAGCTCAGATTCACAGAAGAAAACCTCAGAAATTTCGCAGGAGAAACAGGAGTTTCCTTCGAAATGGAGCTATTGAATATGGATATTCTGTTGAACCCGACCTATTGGCCTCTATCTCTGCTCCGATCATCGGATAAAGAAGCAATCGCGGTGACTCTTCCAATCAGCTCCGTCGTCTCCGGTTACCTTCCACCGATCCTTCGTTTCCTTAAACAAATCTCTCCGAACGTCGTCGTTTGCTCAGACAGAAGCTGCGACCGTAACAACGACGCGCCGTTTCCCAGCGGTGTGATTCACGCGCTTCAGTACTACACTTCTCTGCTCGAGTCTCTAGACGCTTCCGGGAATCCGAATAACCAGGAAGCTGCCACGAGTATCGAGAGATTTTGTGTGCAACCGTCGATACAGAAACTGTTGACCAATCGTTACCGTTGGATGGAGAGGACGCCGCCGTGGAGAAGCTTATTTGAGCAATGTGGGTTTGCTCCGGTGGCGCTGAGTCAGATGGCGGAGACGCAGGCGGAGTATTTGTTACAGAGGAATCCGTTGAGAGGGTTTCATTTGGAGAAGAGACATTCATCGTCTTCTTCCTCTTCTTCACTTGTCTTGTGTTGGCAGAAGAAAGAACTTGTTGCTGTATCAGCTTGGAAATGTTAAGTGAAACAAATTGAGAAAGAGAGATATGGCAGCCATTTTCTTTGGTAATTTGTTTTTAGCTTTTTAATTTGGGTTAAATCAAGTTTTAATGTGTTCTTAGTCTTTGATTGTGATGTTTAACCAATCAATGATATATATATATATATATATATATATATATCCTTTTGTTAGTCTTTCACTCTTTCTCGTTCTTACTTTTGCAAAAAAATATGCTGCTCAGTGCTTACGAAGTATGTCAAGTTGTCCGAGAAAGTAACGTTGCTGTATTGCTCTGTACTGTATTATGTACGTACGAAAATGTATCTACCATAAATTTGTATAAATATTTTTATTTATTCGGATTTTCTTATAATCTAGTTCTCCTCACACACCCCAAAAAGATCTGCTAATTTGTATTAGCAATTAAGGATTAATAATGTATTTAGTAGTTAACTACCCAAATGGGGATTACCCTAAATTATAAGAAAAACGCTTTAATAATCTTCAAATGAAAATTCTGAAAAGCTTTGCATACCCACAAAAGTTTTTCAACACTTTTTGAAGAGTTAAAGAAAATTGAATTATTATTTACGCTGACCTGAATAACGAACGTTTAAAATATGAAATTTATGGTGTCGAAACATTTTTCGGTCAAATGTCAAAAGAATATGCGATTATGAAATTTTACTAATCTGTGTGTTTAGTAATAAGAATATAGCGTTGAGGTAATAATTAGAGTTTTGTCCGAGAGATCACATGGTTCTCGCACCATTGCTTATATATAAAATAGTGAATATTTTATATAAATACAGTAATGTATTAGCACTTTATTATTCTGATTAACTAATGAATTGGACGGCATTAAGTGTTGAGATTCTGCAGTGAAGTTGTAAAAAGTAACATTCTTTATTGTAATCGATAACAATATCCACCCATGTCTTTCCTCTTCCCAATCATTTTCTTTATTTTCGCCCTTTTATTATGGAGGTATCATTTAGAATTGATTACTCATTTGTAGTTTATTATTTTTTTTTATTTTTCATCTAACTGATATTTACTTCATAACAACCAAAGGTTACAGCAGTCATACACTTTTGTGAAACAAAGAGAATAAAAAAAACAGAGGATCCGAAGCAATCAAACACAGGGCCCAGCCAAAATTACATAAGAGCAATACTCAGAAACAAACAAATCTTTAAGCCAGAGCGGATAACCCGCTGCTACATAAGATTGCTATCGATCCTCATTAGTAATACTGCTAGCTATAAAATTTGCTCCACTATTTGCAGCCCTTTCTTCAACAAAAAACTTTCACTCAGCAAAAGATATGAGCAGAGACCTGAAAAAACCTGATAAGTGTTTAAAAGAAGGCCACGCATTCGGTCGACACACCACTCCTACAAGATCAGCATCAACTGCCGCAAAAACAACTTTTTTAAACGCCAACGAATTCAAGCTGTTAATTGCCCAAACCCAAGCAATCTTTGTGGCATCTTGTTTACTCTGAACTCTAACCGCAGAAGATCTACTGTGAAGGATGACCTCCCCTTTATGATCTCGTAAGACCCAAGATGCACCACTCATCTGTCTTTTTTTTATCCCAAGAGACTCCTATATTGCATTTTACCCAATCTTTCTCCGGAGGTTTCTACTTTTTTTTTATTTTTTGCAAAGCAACCTTCTTCTTATCTAAGTCAGTCTTCTCTGCCGCTTGAACCCTAAACCATTCATCAGAACTCTCCCTTATCTTCTTAATAGTATCAAGGGCTAGAAAAACCTTTCCTTCAAAAATGAAGCTGTTGCGGTTCTTCCAAAGCAACCATAAAATCTAAGGGAACATCCTTCTAATTCCTATTGGGACTGTACCATTAATCCCAATTCCAATAACATAGGACATATTTTGATACACTGATTCTTCATGGAAACCATTTTCAGGACAGGGGAATAAAGAAAGCGCCCATACCTGTCTCGCCAGAGTGCATGAGAAGAGAATATAATTAGCAGATTCACCTTCCACACCGCACCGTTGACACCTAGGATCAACATCCATTCCTCTTGCATTGATGTTATCAGCTACTGGAATAGCTTCACTCAAAACTTTCCACATGAATTTTTGAATCTTTATAGGAGTTGAAATCCGCCAAACTCCATTCTTTAGCCCATTGAGCGAAGGTTGTAACTTCGCCTCCACCATTTCCTCCGTCATAAACTGTTGTGATGCAAACCAATATCCAGAACTTACGGAGTACTCCCCACTCTTTGTATGCTCCCAGATCCAGAAATCATCTTCTTCCACCATAGGCTCCATTTTCAGAATAATGTCAATATCTCTTTGAAAAAATAATTCCTGCAGCTTATCAATATCCCACCATCTAGTTGAGAGGTCAATGATATTCTCAACTCTCAAATCAATGTTCACAAAAATATTTTTCATAAAAGCGCTCGCATACCACCATCTTTGATCCACTGATTAGACCAGACCAGAATTGATTTTCCATTTCCAACCATCACTCTAAGCCCTCTTCTTAAAAGATCTCTACCATGTAGAATACTTCTCCATGCAAAGGAAGGTCTTGCACTCATATCAGCCTCCAAGAACTGTTGATCCGAAAAGTATCTACTCTTAAGGAATCTAGCAAAAAGGCAGTTAGGAGATTGAAGGAGTCTCCATGCCTGTTTTGCAAGATTTTTTTGATATAATTAAAAAGAAAACAAAAAAAGTCTGCTTGGGAACGACGCATTCATTAACATCCCCACATGATTTTAAATCCTTTTTCTTTAATCCATTTTCTCGAAAATAGGGAGAAAAAAATTGAAATGAATCTCTACAAATTAACCGGTCACACAACGGCCCGAGATTTCACCTACTGAACCAAAAAATTGTATACCAGTTCAATCAAACAATAAACCGGAATCCCATCTACAGCTACATCGTCATCATTTGTCAATATCCTTTTTTGAATTTCTCTCTCTCGTGGAGGGAAAAATCGCGCCAGCTTTTCTTGAAGCTATAACAAAGGAATCAAACTCCATGAAGTCTAACGAAGGAGTAGGCTAATGCACCAGTGAAAACGTAACTATCAACTCTGTCCAATATTCCACCTACAATTACAGAAGAACCGGTTAGAGAATGGCTAGACAAAAAAACCGGTACTGATTGGTTATCGAGTAAGTACCGTGTCCAGGGATGAGTGAGCCGGAGTCTTTGACACCCGCATCTCGTTTGATCATTGACTCTATTAAGTCACCGAAGACTGATCCGAAGAAGTTAAGAACCCCAAAAGCTATTGTGCTACAAAAAAAAAACAGAGAACCACTCAAAATGAAAATACATAATCGATCTATAAGACTTCAGCAAACTCGAATAGGGTTTGAGTACCTGACAAGAGATTGAGGCCATGACAAAGATTTTGAGAGTAAAACGGTAACGGTAATACAACCAACAAGTCCTGCCACAGCTCCTTCCCAAGTCTTCTTTGGACTGATGCTAATAAGAGGAGTCTTACCAAATGCCTGAAAATACATACTTGATTCACTTAAGAGATAGAAGGAGAAAGCTCACAACTTTACTAATCAATCCAAAAAACTATATCCAACCCTCAAAAACCTAAACGGTTTATCTCAATTAGAATAGGGAAATGCATCTGTAAAAGTCTAAGATCAAAACTGCATCAGAGAGATATACCTTGCCACCGAGAAAAGCAAATGTGTCTGAGGCAATAATACCGCAAAAGGAAACCAGTATAGCCACAAGTCCAACAGTCCAATGTGCTTGACCACCGAGGAAAGCAGGCCAGCTTCTTCCAATTCCTATACGTAATTAAACTGCTCAGAAGACTTATTAAGTCTCTTTGATTACTTAGCAAATACAAACTATACTGAAAGCTAAGAAGGATTATAATGAGAGTCAGAGTGCTTGCCGGTGTTTAGAACAGGAGCGGTAAGGCCACAACGTAGCTTAACCCAAAAACAAGGAAGATAGCCACAGTAAAACAGCCCAAACATAGTACTACTCAGCTGAGAGAAACGTGGGTTCCCTCTCTGTAACAACAACGCCATTGCAACAACGAATGATGCTGATGTCACCGAGATATCTATATGACCAAAGTACCTAAAAAAACGAGAACATTCATGTCAAAGATCAGACCTTTAGAATCAGAATATGAAAAAAGAATCGTAGTCTTTTGAGGTGATCACTGAATGAAACGACTCACAAAGTAAGTATGGGCATAAGAGCACATATAACAGAGCAGACTCTAGATAGATATCGTGGAGGAGGTGTCATTCCTTGAGCGATTCCTTTACTTCTCACTAACTCGAAATATTCTCGGGCACTTAGAAGAACCGCAGCTGCTAACGCTGCCGTGAAAACCCATCCTCCAGCTAATACGACACCTCCTACAGAGACTCCGATTCCTAGACCGAAAATTACTCTTTTCTTAAACTGGCTTTTGGATTTCTGCTTCTGTTGATCTAAACTCGAATCTTCTTCCACATTATTCAGTTCTTGATCTCTTTCATGTTCCTAAACAGACGGTGAATTTTCAGCATTGCCATGGTAATGTCAGTGAGAGCTCACGCAATCAAACAACAATCACTAAACTAATGTGTCTCAGCAGTTCACCGATACTAGCACGAATGATTCTATATCGAATTTGCAGTAAGACCTCGATAATGGGGGACTCCCAAAGATTAGTCTTTGTACTATTAAGCTAACACCATCAGGGAACTTTCAAAGTATAAATCTTCATTCTCTCCTACTCAGACACACACAAGCACACTAGAGAAGAGAATGCAAATGAGAATTGAAAGATTGAAGGTAAGAAAGGAGCATAAAGTTACCTCCTTTGAGTTTTCATCATCACCAAGCTGACCTGATTCAGCTCGAGCAACGGCCGTGATAACACGCCGGTTAACAGAAATCCCAGTAAAGCGAGAATGAGACGATGATTTGGAATCGACGAGACGCAAATTCGAATAGTTTTCAGAGAGATGGGGAAGAATTAGAGATTTTCTTGGAGTGGAACGGCAAGGACATGTACAGAGAGAGCTCAATGAGAGTGGTACAGGTTTATACCTACAGACTTCAACAAAAGGCGCCATTAGAATTCCGAAATTGGAAAAGGGAAAATTAAAACCCTAAGAAATGAAATCAAAGGGAGAAACTTTATGAAGCAGGAAATCTCCGCATCATGAAAAAGTTCAGAGGACAGAGAAGGAGAGAGGTTTTGAAGATTGTGGTGATTCGGTGAATCTAATCGGCGAGTATAGATAATAGTGGGGGAAGTGGTGGTGGTACGACGGGAAAGGATCTGAGTGAGCTTCACGCGCCTAAGTCGGCGCGTCGATAACAAACACTTCATCTCGGTTACATTGAAGGAAGCATGTAATTTATTTTCCCGTTTAGCTTTAAATAAAGCTGTTTTGACTTTGGTGATAATATTATTATTGGCCACAAATGTATAAGTAAAATTGATATTGACACTCTTAAGGGTTTGGTAGATCAACCATTTTCATTCATGCATTCTAAATTATGTGAATTTTTTTTTCACACGAAACAAAGATGCATGTAACTATTTTGCCGTTTAGGTTTTTGGATTCTTCAAATTAGGTTGTTTAACTTTAACCGAAATGAATTGGTCAATAAAAAATAATATAAAAACGAGATGAATTAGAGGAGAAAGAACCCACCAAAAGTCATTGGATTACAAAAGAAAAGTTAAAGGAGAAGGAATAAAAAGCAAACTGAGTTATGAAATTTTCACTAGCGAAAGATAAATCCTAAGGCACCTTTTTTTAAAAGGCGAAATTGACAAATACAGAAGAGAGAATTTTTTTTTAAAAAAATGTCCGACTGATAATGAGTTAAAAGAAAAGTCTGTTTTCTTTTTTTGTTCTTTCTTCGTAGGGTGTGTGGGATAAAGAACTTCAGGTGGAGTGGTTATGTCCTCTTCATAATGTATCCCAAAATTAGACCGATTAGTCCGACCAGAAGAACGTACATGAACGGGATACCACTCTGGCTTCTCTTGCTGTCACGCCTCAATTGATCCTGCAGACCAAACCAAATCTTTGTCAGAAATCAAACTCTAACATCTATACCAAGCCTGTGGAATATATAAGACTTGTTTTGGTTGATACTCTTAAGGTTATGAAGATCAATCATTTTCATTCATTTTTACATTCAAAACAGCCAAAAATGACTCGAGAACATGAAGAAGCACGGAAAAAGCTATGTCCTACTTGCTAATCATCAAAGTAGTCTTTTTTTTTTTAATTCTAAACATATCAGAATGGAGGATAGATTCTGAGATTAATAAGAAAATAAAGGATTCAAGTCAAAGTTCTTTACCAGTTCTCTTTGAAGTTTGTTGTTCAGTTGAAGGGCAGACTGTTTTTCCTCGGTTAGCTTTGTGATAAGAGCCCTTGCCTGAAATCACACAAAATTTAACCTCTAATAGTAATATTGTAGAACGACCTAACTGGTGTCATATCAGAGCTATTCGGTTTTGTACAGACTAAAAACATGCAAAGGCATCCACAAGTAATGGGCGGCTTGAGGACTGGGCTGGCTTCTAAAAGTGTAATGAACCTTTTATGTAATCAGCAAAAAGAAAGATTCTCGACCCTAATACGTCAGCTGTTAAAGCCAACTTTCCAATAAAGATAGCTCCTAAGTTGTAAGAAAACGTTTTGAACAGAGTAAAAGCAAAGACACTAACATGGCTACACACAACAAAAAAAATACGTGGATGCAAAAGATCATTTCACATGGTTTTACTCTGTTACAAGCTCAGAAGAAAAGTGAAAATACCTCTGATGTGTTTTCTTGAGGCTCACCCTTGTCCGCGCTAAATCTCTGAAACTAATATTAACCACACAAACACATAAAAATCCACAGTAAAGGCATAACCACAGCACTCAAATCTAACCTTAAAACTTACAGAGAATTCAGAAGCATGTCCGTTATCAGAAACCGAGGCCCTTGGTGAAGAACCCTCTTCTGAACCTTCATGGACCGGTGATGGTGGTTGAGGTGGAGCAACATAAGTAACTCTCAGTTTAGTCTCCTCAACAAGATGCCCAGCCTCTTTGCTAAACTGCAAAGTTTCATAACAAGGAACTGATTTAAGGAACCAAAAAAAAAAAAAAAACAAGCTGTGATTATTCATTAGATCAACGAGGTAAACTAAGTACCATCTCAGGAGTAACTTCCTTGGCGGTGACACCAGGACTAGCAATCACACCTTGAAGAAGAAACTTGTCCTTGCACTGCATATCCGAAGGAGCTTCCTTCTGAGCTTGCATGGTCACTAGACAAACACCAAACAATGATTCATCTAATTCCTAAACCTAGTATCAGATTTGGCCATTGAAAATGACCAAAAATGAAATAACACAATCCAAGCTCGAGAGAAAAAGAATCAGAGAACGGACCAAGAACTTCACAGGTGGACCTTGGAAGAACAACTCCAGTGTTAGGCCTAACGCAGTACTTTTTCGGATTCGTCGTCTTAACCTAAAATACACAACCGAGAAGCCTCAGAAACACAAAAGAGAGATAATCACAGAGATTTCCCGATCTCAGAATCCGAAAATTCGAAAAAACAATCAATCATATAAGAGAATTATCACCTTGAAGGCGACATTACTGTCGGTCTTGTTCGTCAAGTAAAGAGAGCAAGAGATCTGCTTCTTCAATTCAACTAAATCGAATCAAAGAAGAAGGAAAACGAGAATTCAATCAACAACGTAACTCAGAAAAATCTAGATCTGGGAAAAGAAGACATGCGAAATAATGGAAACTCCAAAAATAAGCTTACAAGGGAATTGAAGGTCCAGAGGATCGACGGTGAGAAGCTCGCTGTTACTCATCTCGATCAGATCGCGGGAGATTCAAACCGATTTGCCGTATAAACGACAACAACAACACTTCCCGGCGAACGAATCCGTCACGTGACGACGTCTCCGGGACAAAGAGAGAGAGAGAGAGCAGTCGTCAAAGATCGATCGAGAGAGAGAGATCGAATGAAGAAGGCAAGGACATCGCTATTTGTCTTGTTCCGTCTCAAGGGTATAATTGTCTTTTCGATTAAAATTGATCATTTGTGAGACTCGAATGCGATATAATCGCCTAATACTGAAATTACAAACACAAACCTAACTCCCCAACTGGATTAATTGGATTAAAGAGGACGGATATCGAATATGTTTATCTCATGAAAGACGAATAATATGTTTGGTTCAATTGTAAACGCATTGAAAATTTGAAATTAACATCTACCTAACTACTACTGCATTACAGGAATCTAGAATATGATCATAAAGAATATGTTTTTTTTTTATTGGTTATCACCAACCAACCCACCAACTATAAAAAAAGCTATACAATAAAGAGTTTTTACATATCCATTCTTTCTTTTCTGACATGACTTAAAAAGCTATAAACGGAACTTTACTCAACAGATTGTGGCTTCTGATTTGTTGTTGAAGATGCAAAACCAGCAAACCAAGAAACCCTCATGAGTTGCATCCCCAAGATCAATACCCACCAAGAGACTAGCCCACGAAGCATGTGAACCACCCAAACCGGTGCGTTCACCTCTGCGCTTAGTTTCAACCCTCTCATCAGTTGCAGGACTCGGTACGCCTCGTAGACAACCGGTGTGACTAACCAGACCGGTGATTGCCAATGCCATGTGAGGATCTCTGTCAATGTCTGAACCGCGAGGAGGATGAAGTACGGGAAGAGCAGAACAGCGGACGAGATGAAAGGGAGCTCGGGCTGGAGAGAACCGAATAAGCCGGTTTGGGATCCGAAGAGAAGCAGCGTTGGGACAAGAAACCCGGTTACGAGTGCGAAGATATTCCAAAACTTGTAGCTAAACGGTGGTGTGCTGTTGCAGGACTGTGATGGGTCTTTAGGACGGGCGCAAGAATCAGCCATTAGCAGGAAAAGGGTTGCTCCGAGGTTGAAAATGCAATCTAGACCGATCAGAGAAAGTAAACTAACCACGTTTGAACCGAGGAAAACCGATGACAGTGGAAGCCATAAAGTAGGCGCCATACCGCTTGTGAGGAGAACAGATGGACCTAAAAGCCATATCGGCCATTTAAGAACCTGAATCTGGGAGTTAGCTCGTTGCTGTTGCCCTGAATCTACTTTCTCTTCCTCTGCAGTCTCTGATATAATAGACTCGAACACATTCGAGGCTTTCTCCAATACTATACCACCAGCTTCCTCTGCAGAAGCATGAACAAAAGGTGATGGTTCCCATTGAGACAGCTTTGTGGATAAGAAGACACGGAGATTTCTGAAACGGAGGTGACAAGATCCGGTTTTTAGGTTCTGCATCATCTTCGGATTCTTTAGGCGAACCCTTGGAGCCATAGTGCATAGAGACTTTGTTAGAGAAACCATTCCTTGGCTCACCATTGAAGTGTCTCTAAAAGCTTTCAACTATCTGTTCTTAACATAAACAACAGAACGTTTCAAAATTATCAGGAACAAGACAGTACATGGACACAGCAAACACTTCCAAGATATTGAATCGGATAACCAAAATCAAATCAATACAAGGTCAGAAACAAAAACCGGTAAAGTGGAATAGTCATCACTTACTTCAATTAACGAGTAAGAATCTTGAAATTCGTTTCTTCGGATTAGATCAAGACGAAAACTTTGATTTCTGGCCTAGTTATAGTGAATTTAAGCGTAAAGGAGGAATTGATCAAATTGAAGTCGATTATCAAAATCTATGCAGATAGAATTTTATCATGCATTCTCGGAAATGCAAAAAGTAAATCGAATAAAGGGATAAGCATAAAACAGAAGAAATCAACCTGGAATCAGGAGAAATTAAAACTCACCGGCGAATTGAAGAACGGTAGAGCCCTAGATCCGATGGCTATTTCTTTACCGTCTCCGGGGAGAAATTATAAAATATGAGTAACGCGAATATGACGGGTTCGTTTGTATGCTAAGATATGTCATCAATACGACGACGTCTCGACTACTTGATTAGACGGCCCATGTTTTTAAAGCCCATTACAGATTTTAAAGTCTTGGTTTGATATGGTTTACTTTTTGTATACCAACAACACTTGGCTAAAAATACAAGATCGTTGACCAAAAAAAATTAAATACAAGATTATATATGAAAATTCCAAGCCCATTTATTCGAACATCCTTTATATATAAGCATATGATTTTTTCATTGATAAGTCAATATGTATATGTAAAACCCAAGCTCAAACCACATTGCATTCAAAGTATGAATAATGTATGGAATGGTATTGATAATGAATAGTGATGATGGTGTACGATTGATGGTTTGAATACGTTTTGACTTGTGAATAGCGATATGGTTTGTTTGTATATTAAAGATTGTTTGATTGACTTAGGTGAAGTACAAACAAGACTATATAACTAGTCTTATCCTAAGAAATTCATTTTTAAGGTAACTGAAATAGAGCAATACTATTGACGATCATTGATTCTGGACAGTGTCTCGAGACGTTTCTCCTGGTCTAGAGGAAAGTCAGCTTCTCAAGCAGTCCGGTCTCAGCGGTGTTGGTATAGAGTCCGGGGATAGGTGCCATGGAAGAAACGTTGTTCACGTTGACCGTACTTCTCCTCTATGCCAAAAGCTCAAGAGCCCAGTCATCCACTGCAACACAACGTCGTTATTAAAAACTTCCGTAGTTGTCCAAATCTTGCTTTGCAAGAAACCAGCTCACAACCATATTGAACTCGTTCAGCTGTCAAAGACGAGAATCCGACTCGAGTTTAATAAAAACATTTTCAGATTTGATAAACCATTTTTTCTTTCGTTGGCTTAAAGCCACTATAACTTGTGTGCGAGAAATTCAAAATTTTGGAGACTTACAAAGATGAGGAGAGGGAAAAAAAAAGGGTGATAAATATTTCTTAATCCAAAATCCATCAATATATAAACCTCGATCGGTATACACTGTTAATCCAAACATAGACAATGCTTAAACTTGTACTTATAAGGGAGGTCAGAAAGTAGGCAACCAGACCACTCGACCCGGCCCCGAACAGCTACTTTACTCCCATACAAGACGATCACTGAACACCAAACCTCACTTTTGTCTCTTTCATGCCACAAAAACGCCAACTTTCCATTGTATTCAGCCAATGCAGTACTCCAGGCGATACGCGCTTTGAGATTCAAACCCTCAACAACTCTCCATTCCTTCTCCTTAGATTCATACCACAATAATCCAGCATGAGTTTGATATATGTAGAGCACATTATCTACCACACAAAAATCTCTACTGCGTAACTGCTGAGCTGGTGCTGGTATCTCAATCTCGCCATCTCTAGTATCATAAACCACGACTGCTTCCTCAGCATTCCTCGCATAAATGTTTCTCCTTAGTGACGCCGACATAGATATGTCTTGCACTTGCCTAGTTGGATTTGGTGCGAGTTGCCAAGTTTGCGACTTTAGGTCAAAGGCCTGCGCTTGGATCTCTTCGTATTCGTCTTCGCACCGTCCTCCAAACATGTAAATCTTGTCGTTGACTAGTCCGGCGGCAGCGCTACGGGTGGCCACGAGCGAACTTGGACCCCGGCGCAACTTTCCAGACCGGGAGTCAAGGATCCACATGCTGCTCGAAGGACGAGTGCAATAACCGCCAACGAAGTAGATCTCCGGGCCCACCGTGAGAGCAACAGAGTAAGGCTCAGGCGGAGAAGGGAACGGGATCGGCACCAAACGACGATTCTCAGCGAGAGCGAACCAATGATTGATCCTGTGAGGATAACCGTATTCGTCGAAGCACACGTAGAAGCGATCCATTCCCAGGAGAGACCGCGTCTTGTGAAGCTCAGAGGAACGTACGAGAGATCGCAACTTCTTCGACACGCAAGAGATATTTGGGTGATACCGTCTCGGCACGCGGGCTAAGACGTTTAAAACGATATCGTCCGCCAGTGACGAAAACAACGACGACGGCGCCTCCTTCCTCGTGCTAGACATCGTCTTAAGCAACTTGTTTCTCTCTAAGCCAATTGTATTCCTTGCTTTCGGATCATCACACCAACATGAGATATATACTATAAAAAAAAAATAACTAATTATCCTTTTTCCCTCTTCCTCTTGGAAATCTATTAGTATCGTTTGGCAATAAGGAAATTTTAGGGAATCAGACATCGTTTGGCAATAAGGAAATATATTTATTAGGGAGTGACGAGTCAATAAGGAAATTTTATTGTTAAATCTCAAATATTGTTTGGCAGTAAAGAATTTTTAGGGTTTTACTTTCTATCTTAAATAAATTATCTGTGGAAAGTTTGCGTTTTGTGGCAAGAAAGAAACATAATGGAGATTTGGTGTGCAATGATCACCTTGAATGGGGAGTAGCAAAGTACGACTCAGTGGCGGGTGGATTGGTCTGATTCCCAATTTTCCGACGTCCCTCATCACTACAATTTTTAAGCAGTACTATATATATAGGACGTATACGGATCAAAGATATGCATGGAATGGTATTAATAAAGATAATGATAGTGTGATTGGTGGTTTAATATCTTGTGAATATATGCTTTGTTTGTATATTAAAGAGGTGAAATACAAACAGGAGGCATTGCTAAGAAGAGTGTTACTAATGAAATGAAATACTACAATAAACAAATGTTTGTCCTGTGTAAATGTTTCATAATGAATTACTTATGTTTTTGTCAAATAAATTAAGCAGAGCATCTTCTGTCCATCCATCCATCCTTATATATCTGAGGTTGTTTTTATCTAAATGATCTAAAAACAAATTGAAGTTAGGAAAAGCACAAAAAGGAAGCACTCGAAAACATTAACCACCAAATAAAATAAAATGAAGTAAGAGTTGAAGCTTAAGCTGGTGCATCGAGTCACTTTAGTGCTTCTCTGTTTTAAACCAAACCCAATGTGATTTCCTCTTTTGTTTTTTCCCCTAACGTTATCAAATTAATAGTACTACTAATATGTATGCCAAAAGAACTTTATATCATATGAATATGAGAGATCAGATAAATAAAATAAAAAGTTTATCGATCATAACAAAAAAAAAAAGCTGGATGATTTCGATCATAAAAAGATAATTTTCAGATATTGTCTAGACACTGAACATTATATCTACTCGTTTTGATTGACCAAATATTTGATTCTCTTTTTATATATTTTAAAATAGAGTATCGTGAATATGACGGGTTAGTTGGATCACCCGTAAAATAGAGTATCGTGAACATTAATATAGAGTATCGTAAAATAGAGTATTTTAAAATAGAGTATCGTGAACATTAAAATAGAGTATCGTGAACATTAAAATAGAGTATTTTAAAATAAAGTATCGTGAATACAATGGACAACTTTGGTAGAGCTCTTAACTGAAAAAAAAAAAGAAAAAACAAAAACTAAAATGATGTGGCAAGAATTTTTCGTCGAATCGACTCTACTAACAGAGTTGATAGAGACAATTCTAAAAGCCACGTGGCTTTACCTGATTGGTGATTTTCTTTTTGTTGAAAATTGTTTTTTTTCTCTATCAATCACTTTCTTCGTCCTCTTCTTCTTCTTCTCTTCCATCTGGATAAAGAATTTCCTTCTTTCAATTCTGCTACTCTCAAATTTCTTCTTTCGCTTACTCTTATATTTTGTTGCTTTCTATTAGTTGTCTGTTCGTTCGTTCTTGGTGATCGAATTGAATCGATGTTGATTGCAAGCCGTAGAAGAATGGTACAAACAGATGCCGATTAAAACAGAGTCTCTCCATTGTATATCTCAAAATTAAAGAAAAATTAATGAGACTCTTATCTTAAATTAATAATAAATTTAATAATATAATATGTTTGAGAACCTTTTAAGCAGTTCTTTATTACGGCTGCTATAAAGATATGTCATCAATACGACGACATGTCCACTAACTGCTTAGACGGCCCATGTTTTTAAAGCCCATTAAAGATTTCATTGACTTAGCTAAAATACAAAATTATACAATAGAACTTATTTTATTAATATTTTAATAAATATTTTTTATCAGTCCCAAAATTAATTTATTAACCAAATAATATATTTATAAATTAATAGTTATTATAAATTATTTTTTTTATAGATTCTAACATTATTAATTTAAAGAAATTTTACTATATGTAAATTCTATATATAATATATATATAGTCTAATTATTTGAAAAACATTATGTATCGTATAAGGCATATGATATGATTATCTAGACGATCACTAATGTATTGTATGAGATCATAGTGCAATTGTTTGACATGAAGATAATTAAGGACATTTTGTCATCACCGAACATTCTGTAAAAAGGATTTAGATTTATAAGGATTTATATTAAGGTAAAACTTAAAACTAAAAACCATTTCTACCTTCTTGATTCGATTAGTTAGTCCTAAGTAGTATTTTTGGGCAGATGATAATCTCATACCCAATTTCAAATACTCAGACCTTCTTGATTATGTTTAAGTCTTTAAGTTTAGACTGCAATTTAGAGGAGGTTATTCAAATTGTTGAGTGTATACAGAAAAATTCTAAAGTTTTATCTAGCAATCTTCACCATTATTCGACGCCTTTGAGAGTTTTCTAGAGTTAATGGTCAACACATGAAATATGCATTTGCTTAATCTTCTGGTTCAAGAATATGAATTCACCTACACTGCGAGTTAAGCTTCTACATGCTTTTGCTCTCAAGTTGTGAATGTAATAAATGAATAGGCAATATCGATATTGATAAGAATGTATATAGAGGAATCAAGTCAACTGGAAAGTATTGAGAGTGTGGTGAATGTCAAATATTTTAGAGATAAATATTTACAATCTTCCTCTTTCCATTTCAGTCAAGCATCATGATAAAGCAGCGAAAACTTTCTAGAAAATTACTTGTTGACCATATTTTGGGCAATCACCTTCACCAACATCGAAATCTCGATAGATGAGACTTGAATCAGCCTTTATGTAATTATCTGAAGCTACAACCTTAACCTCAAAACCTGGTTATGAGTGCGAAAATGTTCCAGAACTTGTAGCTAAATGGTGGTTTGCAGTTGCAGGATTGTGATGGATCTTTAGGACGGGCGTAGGAATCAGCCATTAGCAGGAAAAGGGTTGCTCCAAGGTTGAAAATGCAATACATTTGTATGTATACCATTTGTAATCAAATTCAAAACGAACCTAACCTAAGTATCCAACTAAGAGTTTAAGAAATCAAGAAGAAGAAAAATGCATTTGTTTAGTTAGGTTCTTTGAAACTAGGGCATAATCTTACTAGACATGGCACATTAAAATGATTCTGCATCTTTAGAGGCTTAACTAACTCTGACAGAAAGAGAGAGATAATGTTATGAGAGTGTAACCTTCTTTTAAAGTATATCATGAAGAATAATTCACAAAAGAAATTAACATGCCTCTGCAACTGCAATTCATGAACAATAATCACAGTGTCGTTAAAAGAGGGAGGTTAGAGTTATTTCTAATGCTCATGCCATTATTTTGATTGATTAATGAGAAGACAATAGAAGGAAAAACTGCTTGTTTTTTAACACTAGAGGAGAGGATATGAGCTTAAAGCTTGTGATCTTTATCTGTTTTAGAGGAGGCTGCGAAGAACATTTTTGGAACACAGACTAGAGTTTCTGTATTGGCTCCACCGTTTATTTCTGCTTTCTTCTATATTCCCTGAAACTGCTTCGTGTTTGGATAGAAATTGAAAGCTTATTCGTATAAGGAAGGAGCAAGCTTTTAGCAAACGAATGCATAAAGAGAAGCACTTGGAAGATTGAATTGCTTTACTGAATAGTCTTTGATCTGAGTCTTGCTAGAGGTCTTAGACTACTACACCGTATTCATCTCAAACACATACAAAAAAGGAATCGCCTATGGCTCACATAACAGTAAACTGAGCCAAGAAAAGATTTACCAAAACAACAAAAACGTGGGATCTCTAGAGATTCAGAGCAGATCACTATCTCCTCACCGAAAGACAAAGCCTCATTCCCCAGCTGATAGGAACGGTACCAATCGTCTCAAATGGTTGTGCAGAACCATGGAAACCATATTCAGTCTTTTCCAAGCTGATGAGGGTAAACCAAATTTTCTTCAATCCAGCACTTGAACTCTCTTCTGTCCAGATGAACGCCAGCATGGAGTTGTACTCTGCCATGGCCACAGAGTTTGCCCTGTTGAAACTGAGACCTTCAACCATCTTCCATTGGCTAGTGTTAGAATCATACCACATCAAGCCGAACCTTGAGCAATAAACAAACAATATGTTCCCCAAAACACACACTCCCGTGCTCCACCAACCATCATCACCAGGCAGTTCAAACGGCAAACATGACCCATTGCTCACATCGTAATAGACGGGTGTTGTGGAATTCAAAGAGTAGACTTTTTTTGTCTATCGATGCATTTGCAGCAGCCGCACGCCAATCTCTCTGTGGTTGCGTAATAGGAGTTGCTGGCGACCAGGTTCGACTTGTCAAATCAAAATCTTCTGCCCTAAGCACCTTGTCATGGTCAGCACCGACCAAGTAGATTTTATTGCAAACCAATCCGGCACCTCTGAACATCAATTCCACCGGCAGATCAGGGACTTGTGAAAGCTCTCCAGTCCGAGTATCACTAACCCATACTGTAACTGGGATCTTCAGAGAAGAGCCACAGATAACAAATACTTCTGCATCAATCGCGATCGTGCATCTGATTGGAAGACGAGGAACCGAAAGATGGGTCGATACCAGAGATCGCGGGACATTCTCATCGATTCTGAACCATTCCCTCTTCAAATCCGCCTGGCCCAAGTCCACAAACATGAGAAAGATCGTGTCTTTCTTCAATCGCCGGCGAAGTGTACGGAGATGCGGCGAGGCCAAGATTCGTCTGAAAGATTTGCAGACGGTAGACAGAATCGGATCCATCCGATTTGGAACCCGAACCAATATCTCCGTCAGAATTTCGTCTGGCAGCGAATCCAGTGAGATTCTGGGCGCATTCGCGTCGATAAACATACCACCGACGGTTGTTCTCCGGCGCCGTATATTATGGGGAAACTCCATACTTTTGGGGATTTTTTTAGAACAAACAGAGAGAAATCGGAATTGCAAGAGTAAAATCCGAATTGCAAGATAATATTTGAATTGCAAGAGGAAATCTAAATTGTATTCAAGAATTCCAATTGCAGGGAGCGTGGAGTAACGGTCATGAACAACGGTCGGCGAACTTAAAAGCCGACGAATGGTTTAGTCGGATGGTCTATTATTCGGCCATGGTTTATTAGTTGGGCCAGGAAATTGAATTTCGCACATCCTGGTTCGATATTACAAATTTCCTCAAAATTCAAAATATACGGTTTGGTTACTGTAGTGTTTTTTTTTTTGATCAACGTTACTGTAGTTTTCTATTTGATGATATTTAAATTTAGTTCGATTTGGCTTTAGCTGAAAAAACTCTTTATATCTATTTTTCAAAACCAATAACTTTGAAAAGAAAAACTATCTGTATTAGTTCAAAGAAAATATTTATATCATACAAATGAAGCCCTTTTTCAAAAAAAAATATCATACATATATGTCACATACAAATCTATATTAAACATACCCATGCAGGCTGAGAAGAACATTTTATAATAAATAAATAAAAAGATTATTTTACACTACTTAAGGTTGTGTGGAAACTCTGTCTGGAGTATGTTTTCTTTTCTGTTTCAGAAACTAAAATTTTGAAAAATCATTGAAAACATGCAAAATCCTATTTTCTAAAAACAATTAGTTTGTAAACACTCAGTATATTTTTTTATGTAGTAAATAAATTGAGAATTATAAAAATTAAATTAAGTGATCAGTTTGATTGTTCACAGAAAGTTAATAATTAATTCAATTCATTATAGTAAGTAAATAGTTATTTTGGTTTATTATATAAGATTAATCTTGGTATTATTGAGTTTGAAGAGTTTAATTACTCCTAGATGATGAATGATAATTGTATAGTTAATCAAGTTAAGGAAATGAATGTTATAATGTTTTATCTTGAATAAAATTATTTAGAAATTATGTAATGAATTTTGTTGATTTAAATATTATAGTTTTCAAAATGCTTTCATTCCTATATTATCTAAAAATTCGAAATATTACGTTTTCATGTAGTATGTGCTTCTGTTTTCATGCAACACTCCCACTAATACGATAAAGACTATTACAAATATTTTAAATACCAAATTCTAACACAAGACACGTAGGCAATACATTTATTTTAAAAAAAAAAAACAAAGCAAAACATGCGTCCCGCTTGGAAACAGATGGAGACTTCCCACAAATTTGCCTTGACCAACACGAGACAAGCTTCGCAAGAATCTAACTCATCATCAGCTTTGCAAGAAACCAACTACCATATTGAACGCTGATTTGAAGAAGGTGCCTCCAACGATTTAGCAGTTGTAGTCTCTCTCCGAATCTTCAAATTAAGTATGAGATCAACCTCAAATTAGTAATTGGAAAGATCCAAAACCCTTCTTGTTCGGATAGTAGGTTTGATTATGATTAATGCAAGTGAAGCTTTTTACGCGCAAGAGAGTAGAATATTTGTCAGAAGAAAGGATGAGGGAATTCTAGGTGGTGAAGAGAAAAGAAAAACAACCTATTAACTGCTCTAAGGGCACCATCATTGGAGAGATGACAAACTCTGAAAACCAAAAAAAAAAAAAACGAATGATCAAGCGATTCAAGATTTTAGAGGGAAAGGTGGGGAAAAGGAAACCTAGCTTAATTAATTGATTTGCTTCATGTATTTTTTCATAAATTAAAAGACAAGTATTTTGGGTCTTGCGAGAAAAAGGGTGATGGTTAAATTATTTGAGAAGATTTGGGTTTATATAAACCAATAAATCCCAATAAATCCATTAATATAAACCTCTATCGGTATACACTTTTAATCCAAACATAGACAATGCTTAAACTCGTACTTATAAGGGAGGTCAGAATGTTTTTTATGAGATTTTAGTGACATTGTTGGACATGAAGATAATGAATTTAGTCACGAGTCAGAGGACATTTTATAGACTATTGGTTTTTTATCATCGAATATCTGTAAAATAAATTTAATTGATTTAATTTTTTAATGTTTATTAAAAAAATTATTAAGATAAAATTAAAATTTGAAACTCTAAATTCAGGATTTTGAAGGCAATAAACGTGATCACCTTATTTCCTCAAAAATTCAAAAATTACGGTTTGGTTACTATTCCATTTGATAATATTTTAATTAAGTTTGATTTGGATTTAGCGGAAAAATCTCTTTATATATTCTAAAACCAATAAATTTAAAAAGAAAATATTATGTATTAATTAAAAGAAAAGATTATCATACAAATATCCATTTACGTACGGATCAAAGATATGCATGGAATGGTATTAATAATGATAATAATGGTGTGATTGGTGATTTAATACCTTGTGAATATATATGGTATCAATATATGGTTTGTTTGTATATTAAAGAGGTGAAATACAAACAAGACGAATTGCTATATAAGAGTGTTACTAATGAAATGAAAAACTACAATATGCAAAGAGGAAATGTCTTACCAAAACACTAAAATCTAAGAGATGCATATTTGCAAGAAAACTCAGAGGCAAGTGCAACATGCGAAGGTGTAAGTAACTCTCAGTTTAGTCTCCTCAACTAGATGCCCCGCTTCTTTGCTAAACTGCAAAGTTTCATTAGACGTGAAAAGAAACAGCGACTTTAAGGAACCAAACAAACAAAACTGTGATTATCCATTCAGATCAACAATGTGAATGTAGTACCATCTCACGAGTAACTTCCTTGGCGGTGACACCAGGACTAGTAATTACACCTTGGACCAGAAACTTGTCCTTGCACTCGAGCATATCAGAACGGGTTTCCTTTTGTGCTTGCATGGTCGACAAACACCAAACAAGGAGATTCATCAATTTCCAAATCCTGGTATACCATATTTGGCATTTGAAATTAACACAAAAAAGGCAAGAATAATCCATCACAATTAAAAAATGATCAGAGAACGGACCACGAACTTCACAAGTGGACCTTGGAAGAACAACTCCAATGTTAGGCCTAACGCCATATTTTTTGGGTTTCGTCGTCTTAACCTAGAATAAGAACCGGAGAAGCTTTAAAACACACAAGATATAATACTAAAGTCCTAAAAGGGAATCACTACCTTAAAGGCCACGTGGTTGTCTGTCTTGTTCGTCAAGTAAAGAGAGCAAGAGATCTGCTTCCTCAATTCAACTAAATCCAATCAGAGAAGAAGATTGGAAAATTGAATTAACACCGTAACTCAACAAAATATGGTTCGTGAGACAAGAAGACGTGCAAAGATCTTGATAAATCGAAAGAAAGTTCAAAAGAAAAGCTTACAAGGGAATTGAAGGTTCAGAGGCGTGATTGTGAGAAGCTCGTTGTTACTCATCTCGAAAAGACCGCCCGAGATTCAAACCAATTTCAAGGTTTCCCTGCGATTTAATTCGTCCCGTGACGCTGTCTCCGGTTCAGACTTCAGACAGAACAGCCGTCGAGCACCGAGAGATCAAATGATCTCTTTTCAAGCATCGCCATTTGGATTTGTTCTTTTCCGTGGCAAGGGTCAAATAGTCTTTTCAGTTGAAAGTTATGATTAATCCAATGTGCGTTTTAATGTTCATAGTCATAGCTCTGCTCTATTCTACTCTTCAAGGGAAAAAGGAATGTAATACTACAAAACAAAATAAGAAGGTTGTTTTTTTCTAAATGGTCTAAAAACAAATTGAAGTTAGGAAAAGCATAAAAAGGGAGCACTCGAAAACATTAAACTACAGATTAAAATTAAATGAAGAAGAAGACTTGAAGCTCAAGCTGGTGCATCGAGTCAGAGAGTCACTTTAGTCACGCCCAACCAAACATCTTTTCTGTGTGCTTCTCTGTTTTAAACCACACCCAATGTGATTTGTCTCTTTTGTTTTTTTTTCCCCTAATGTTATACCAAAAACATTATATCATATGAAAATGAGATATCAGATAAATAAAAGAAAAAGTAGAAGAAGAAGAGGAATCATACTTCTAAATGTTATCTACTCGTTTTGGGTGACCAAATATTTTGATTCTCTTTTTATATATTTTTTTTTTCTTAAACGTGTTATCTACTAATTCAGTGGCATTTCGTGCTTGCATGCGATAAGTTTGCTAAGTGATGGTGCGATTGTGAATTCATTGTTTTGTTCGTACAGTGTGTATTTATTTTACTGAGTTATGGCAAAATATTTGCATCAACGAAAGGTTTCTATCTCAACTTAATCAAAACTAATAAGTTTGTTTATTATAAAATTATTTACTATATAGATTAAACTCTATAAATTTTAAATCCTAATTATTTGTAACAAGTGTCGAAATTTAATATTTTTCACTACAGTCATGCAATTTCGGGAATGTTTCTCTAATAAACCAATTATCTTTTAAAAATATACAAAAGTAAAACTAAAACCAAGATTCAGTATTCAGATCGTTTTAGCCCGGTTTAGTCTTCCCTAAGTTTGAGTGCTTGTCCAATCAACAGCAACAAAATTGTGAAGTAATCCATAAGTTGAGTAGACCAAACTAGTTCAACTTTTTAATTGATTATTTATTTTTATTTTTGGTTGAAGATTTGGGTTTGCTTTTGCTTTATTCTTTTCATAGGCGAATATTTGTGAACGTTAATGTCAGTTTCAGGATCTTTGTACCAACGGATGGCATCAAATGGGCTCACAATTTTAGACAGAGAAGTGCATTTATTACAAAGTGATTACATTTACTACTATTTAACTCTAAACTCTACAGTCTACAGCATTTTTTAATTCACTCACTAAATTTTTCATCCCAACTTCAAACACTTTAATGCCTCCAAAATTTGGATAACAATATTACCAAATAAAAATAAAATGATTCGAGGAGACTAATCTCACCAAATCAAGTAATTCGTCTCACTAAAGAAATAGTGTGAGATTAGTCAAGCTTGCAATTACTTGGATGCAACCACTCTGAATCACAATGTGCTGGATTCTATTGGGTGGTGAAAGTTAGTGGGTTTTGCTTCAAGTCATAAGTAAAGAATAAAGTATACTCAGGAGAATAATTCTACATTTGTGGTAGAGCAAACGCAAATCTAATTATGCTACCAAGTCTTGTATACCATTTTAAATTTAATGTGCAAAATGAACTTAACCTAAGTATTCAACTTAGAATTTATGAAATTAAGAAGAAGAAAAGTCCATTTGTTTAATTAGGTTCTTTGAAACTAGGGCTTTATTAAAGAAACGTCTTCTTTACTACTATACTAAAATATCTTTCGGACATTGAAAATGATTATGAATTTTTAGAGGCTTGACTAACTCTAACACAAAGATAAGAGATAAGTCAAGTAGGCACTATTAGTAGTAGTAGCTATCAAAATAACAAAGTAGAAGCAAGAAGTCCCAAATTTAGAATTCATCATTAAGATTTACTAACCTTTAAAAGTCTATAAACTAACTAGAAGCTCATTTGAATGTTCTTCGATTGATATGGTTAGGCCAACACGACGTGAGGCCAATACGAACCAAGAATTGGCGTTAGAACATGTAAAAGTAGCCTCCTTTGCATTAAAAAATAAACACATTATTTTTTTATTTTGTTTATCTAATTTCAACTTCGACCCCCCAAAATAACTATATTTAAAAAATAAAAATAAAAAGATTCAAACTTTACGAAAAATTGGACGACCCGAATCACGCAAAGTCTGTTACCTTTTTCCAGCATTCATTGAAACACCACAGAGACTTCGTCTTCCTCGGTTGGTGCAGGAAGATTAAGATCTATGATCCTCTGTTTAACAGACTCGATTCGATGAACTTGATGATGATGATGATGATGATTTACAGACAAATTTCCGATTCCGTGAGATCTCTTGTGACCTCCAAGTGCTTGTCCCGATGCGAAAACTCTTAGACAAATCGGACATTCGTGGATTCTCTTCTCTGCAGCAACGGCAACAACAACCACGTTATTGTACTCTGTTTCGCTTCGTTGCTCTGTTTTGTTGGAAACTCTGTTCTTCTTGTGGCTTGCTCTATGCCCACCTAATGCTTGATAAGACTTGAACACTTTCCCGCAAGTCTCGCACGTGTATCTCCCTTTCGTCGTTGTTCGACTAATCTTGCTCGATTTGTTGTAACCTTCTGAGTCTTCAGTGTCGACTTCTTCCACTACTTCTTTACTAGTTTTGTTCTTCTTCCATTTGTCTCTTGAGAGCATCATGAGACAAAAGGCGAGATCTTCCTCCGTTGATGTATCAGAAGCCGAGCTCTGAGGAGGCTCGGACTCGGGCCCAGCCTCGCTCTTGTAACCGAGTTGACTCGGTTTCACCTTCTTCGTCGCGAACGAATCGAGTTTCCGAGTTCGCTTGGATCGTTTCCGCTTCAGGTTAATAATATTCCTCGACGACTCAGTCTCGCTATCACCGTCTTCGAGAAGAGCAGAGCCGGTAAAAGCATACTTCGGTTCATCATCCATCGTCGGATTCTTCTCTCTCAGCCTATTTCTATTCCCCTCTTCTTCTTCAGCTGAAGACGAAGAAACATCCGACTCAGTCTCATCACTGAGCTGACTCGGCCTTAGCTCTTCCTCTTTTTCTTCTTCTTCTTCCATGCTAAATTTATGAAGACTCGGCATGTGAGATCTCATGTGACCACCTAAAGCTCTTCCATTGACGAAGCTCTTGAAGCAAAACCTACACTTGTAGCTCTCCATCTTCAATAGCAAATACACAGAGCAAGAAGAAGAAGAAGAAGAAGAAATTAAAAAAAAAGTGGAGAGAAGTGGAATCTACAAGCATTCCTCTCCACCAATAAGCTTAATATTTGTGTGCAACACGCTCAACAAGATTAAAGAAAAGAAAACAACTAAATTAAATTTGTTTATTCATCTCTCTCTCTCTCTTACTGTTTAACAGAACTAAATTTAATTTTGATCTGGAAAACGGAAAGTGGTAAAAGAAAATCTAATTAAAGCGTATGCATGAAGTTGAAGAAGCGACAATGTAACATGCGAGCCTTGCCCGTTTCTGCAAATACTCTAATGAATTTCCGAATATACCCTTCTATTTCAGTTTGGCTTAAAAATAGTTAAAAGATTTCTGTTGTATCACCCAAAATAGCAGACGCAACGCAGCTGTTTGGTCTATTTCGAGGCTTGTTTTTTTAATAAAAACCCAAAATAAAATAATTTACATGAAATCCTGAAAGGGTAGTCTCGGAATTTCAGTCGCTGTTGTACGAAAGTCTTGAGGAGGTTTTGTTGTAACGACGGACCAGCAAAAACAAAAACGCTGTCCTAGAGTGAGGAGAGAATGTTAACATCATTTTGCTGTGAGTTTACAGTACGTGACAGCCACGTCGTACTCCAACGACGGTTATTTAAATCACCCTCACCGGTCAGTAAGTTTATCTCTCTCTCTCTCTCCAAAAATAACAAATTTGTTTAAAAACAAAATTCTAAAATGAAAAATAGAAAATGCAAAACAAAAAATTCAAGTTCAATTGAATGTGATTTGACCATCTTACAAGTTATTCACACCAGATTCAAAGTACTTTTTATAACAGATGAATTAAGCTTAAATGCATAGAATCACTGTAGATAAACATAACATAATGCGACGTGTAATTGATTCTGATTTTTTTGTTTTTCCTTTTAATTTGGATCTTTCTTAGTTAAAAGAAAAATATGAAAAAATGCCGTTGTGTTAGGAAGAAGAACAAGTCAAGATGCCAAAATTTTGGCAGTTTCATTACCCATTTGGAGTTTTTGTTTGTTTGTTTGTTTTGTAACAAAAATTTAACATAAGCATACATATATCTGTCTAAATATAAATATATAACGTTTGTCCTACGTGAAGACTATATTGCCTCTAGCCCGTTTTATTTTATATATATATAAAAGACTATTGCATCCTCTGATTACTGATGATCAATTCAGATTTTAAATAGATAATTTTTGCTTTTATATCTGTATTTTTTTCGGACGCGGTTTTAACTTTTAACCTCAGAAATCTTCATATAGTTAGGTGGTTTGCAACAAAGAGACTTTATAGTTTTGCGCTAATTGTGTTATGTCACTTATGTGCATCATCACCTTTCATTCACATGAAAACCAGTTAACGCCTCTCCTAAATTGATCCGATCCGGTATAAAAGTAACAAGGACTATATTTCACATTGAAGGCTAAACCAAACCGGCTTGCATTTATAATAATCATGGGCTTTTGAGGCCGAGCGACTAAAACTCTAAGCCCATATGAACGTAAGTACATAAAAAAAAAATGTCATCATTTTCAAAATAATTTACTATCAGTTGCAATACAACCCCCATGTTTTGTTTCAGTTTCAAACATTACAATTTATTTGAATGGGAGAGGGAAACGTTAAATCATTTGCGTTTCCTGTGAACTTTCTTGGGAACGGCGAAGTTAACGCGGGAATGGTAGACAGCACCGGGATTCCATTTTTCCGGGATGACGGCTTTAGCAACGAGCACTTTTTTGGTCACGGCGGAGGTAAGCCGGATGTTGAACGGACCTTTCAATGGTGAGCCACAGTTAAGTTTCCAAACGGCGGATCTCATTTCCTCCATCTTCTGGTATTGTCCTCCGGCCGGTTGGACCTCCACGCAGGCAAAGTTTCCGTCACCGTTTGCAAATTTAACGGCGAACGACATGTAGTATGGATTTGCTCCGGCGTCGACATGAATAGCTATTTTACTCTTAGGGTGTTTGCAACATGCACTGCATAATATTTGATTAGTTATAAGATTATTGTTTAACCAGGAAACGTCAATTCATGAAAAAAAAAAATTGGGTTTTAATGAAATGGAATATGAGTAAACAAAAAATTCATCAAAAATAACTTCTAGTTTAAAATTATATTTAGAATACATTTAAGTAATCATCCAAAATCCAAAGTGAATTTTCGCTAAACCGTACCAGACCAAAATTTTGTCAATCAAAATGTAGCCAGTTCATATATAGTAGCCATGCATGTTGATCTCATGAAAACTTAGTCGCTGAAAAATCATATTTTAAACCTAAAAACAGCTTTGCTTATATGAAAATAGTACTAATATTAGTGTTATACGTACGACTAATATTTTTTGGGGGGGCTATTTCTTGTCCAAATAAAACCTAATCAAACGGAACCAAACCGGTGGTTTGACAAAGCGTATCAACCAATACGTACCGTTTGTACTTAACATCGAGTTCTCCAAGGTTACGTAATTCATCGGCCTTGCCATGTTTGGCCAATTTACCAAAGGCCTTACCACTAAGATCAAAATGGACACCCTTCTTAGTGCAGCCGGGACACTCATCCGATATCATCACCTTGATCGGCTTTTTCGTGCACAACGGATGGTTGCATACGATCTTTAACATATAAACATGGTTAGCATATGTACTTATATACATTACAATATTATTTAATTAACTGCAAATTGTTATATATATATAAATCATATACCCTATAACATGCCCCACAACCCGTTCCGTCTTTGTACAATGACGGTCCTCCAGCTGAAATCATACAGTTGTACGGATGCTTTGCAACTGCATCGCCGTATCCACAAGCTCCTCCTGTATTTTAAGAACCGTATGTAAATATGCAAAAGTATTTCCAAACCTTTTATTTGTGTGTATTGTGGAGCAATTAATGGTTTAATTAATTACCTGTGCTGCCAGGACCCTCTCGGTCGCCATACCACGTGATTCCGGCGGCGTTCCAATGGGTTTTATTCCCGCAAGAACATGGCTTCAATGAGATTGCAAAGAGAGCAACGACTAAGCAAAAATATTTGCCTGAAAACAATGCCATGTCTATTGAAAAGATGAAGGTTTCTTATTTTATTTTATTTTTTTGTGGGAGAAAAACCAAACTTAAATAGCATTTAGATTTACTTCTAAAACAACAACAATTATAGTTATCCTAGATTTAAGGAAAACGAAATCTTAAAAAAGGGTTATTGGAACATATGGTGAGGTTTTTGTTTTACCGTTCAACAAAGGTTTGTTTTGTTTTATTGGTGGAGGAGACTCTTCAATGACATGTACAACGGGTTAATACTATTTGTTAATTTTTGGGAATTAGTTTTACATTCCTAAATTTCTAGTGTGCACGCGTATACATACATCAACTGCATTATAATTATATTCCTAAATTTCTTTAGCATGATGGTATTGAGTTTGGGGGTGTAAGTGAAATTGATTTCCTAGTTTCCTCATCTTAGGACATCTCCTCGTCTATATAATCAATGGTATGCTCATTATAGTAATACACGATAATTACTCTATAATTTGATGATCGACTAAGTTTCGAGCCACAATATTCTTTAATAATCTTTTAAAATATCCCAATCTTTCTTTTTTCGGTCAAACAGTAAATGTTAATCTTAAACCATATATTTAAAATATCAAATAAAACAAAGTCAAGGTATATAATATTGGTGTGTATACTTATGGTGAGGCAATTATAAGACATCATACCAACAAATCGATCCTAATCCTATTCTTTTGAATATTTGGTGAAGAGGATTAATTAAGCCAAATGGTTGATCGATGCCTCTGGTTAGGTAAATGCTCGTGAACCACATTGCACTATCATTAAAAAATATAGAACACACTTTGTATACTTCTTATACAATAGGCATCATTGCGGTTGATTAATTTAAATATAAAAGGTCTTCTAATATTGTTTCCCATAAGAATGAGAACGAATGATAACTTGTGCGTTTCTACAAGAAAAATGTTGACGATGAATTTCTTTTATAACTTAAAAAGTCCAAAACTATTGTGGGCAACTAGACACGATCATTGTTTCCTATGTCCAAAACATGAGAAAGATTCAATTAATATGAAACTATAATATCTTATAATAAGAAAAGTTGGTGCACGTATATAATGGACATAGAAAATAAAATAAAAATATATCATTTCTAAAACAACTTTTAAACTATTGATAATAATGTATCTTTGTACCCGCCGTTTAATCAATCATTAGAAACCAAATCAGCACGCAAATCCTATCTTTAGCATTCATCTAACTAACATGGACAAAATGAACAACTTGGATTTTTTTTTAAATTATTTTGGAAAAAAATATGCAGGTAAAATATGTGTGGTTGTTTAACAATCATTATTAATTTATATATACGTTTACGTTTATGAAAAAATGAGTTTTTCTTTGTTTACTCTTTTATTTTTGGGAGCTATTTTCCGATATAAAATTTTTGATTTTCATTTCCAAATTACTTGGGAAAAAAGCAGTTTCTCTTGGTTGAATGAATGCAAACCATGACATAGATTTGCATGAAACCATGTTCTCAAATTCAATAGATAATGCTCATGCTTAGATCACTACTTATCTCTACGCAGCTATATATACATTTACATTTACAACAACACCATACCAAAAAAAATACAAAAGAAAAAACATACTCTAACCAACAAATTTGTCGGAAAGTCAAGCCAAAAGCACAAAACGACAAAAACTAGGACTAAAAAATAGAACAGAGTTTCTTTGTCTATAATAAGATTCGAGCAAACTGATGATGATGTTTAGGATCTTGAACGATCATTTGTCTGGATTTGATTTCTTCGGCGCAACGTAATGCCTTCTCAATTTGATAACCTCCTCCAAAGCTAACCTCTCTTTCAAGATGAGAACAATAACTCTCGAACACACTCACATTAACATGTAGCTTGAATCCCATCAAGAACAGGAATTCTAACTCTAATCTGTTCAAATCATCTGTCTCTAATCCACCTACTTTGGCGAAATATGAATTTCTGTAATTCCTGAGAAACAGAGAAGGGAACTAATTTAGAACAAATAATGATCCAATTAAGCGAAATGTGAGTTTGGTTAATGTGTTTCCAAAGTAAAACTTTCTTGGAAACAAAAATCAGAACTTACAAAAGTTTGAAATGAGTTTAACAAATGACGATTCTATATGAGACTTACAAATCTTCGACGTATTTAGATGCGATCATGATGGTGGTGATGAGGAGGCGATGTACATTAGTGAGACTGATTCTAAAACCGGGATTGATTTGACAGAACCGGTCAATGTATACATAGGCCACCACGTAAACCGAGGGACCGGCTTTAGTGTACCGGAAAATCCTCTCTAGGTACGATTGGATGGTCAAATCGGGGATTTCACGGCTATCGAAGATCTGGGTTTTGCGACCGCCACCGGAAGAAGACGACGGCGGAGACGCTCTCCGGCTAATCCTTTCGTTCCGAGTCAGAGTTCGATCGATCAATGAAGATAGAACAGAGATAACCAGAGGCGTCTCGGAATTGTCTTGGTACGAGTATGAGTAAAGATCATACCGGAGTTTTCTCGGAGAGATTGTTAAGGAATTCGAAACCGCCATTGGTTTTCAGTTTATATATCGTCGGAAAGTTAACAAAGTCCGATCAAAGAGGAAAAGAAGAGTTGTGGTGATGTGATCGAAGATGAAGTGAAAAGGAGAGGTTTTGTGGAGGTTTATATATAACTTATTAAGCTTTCAAATGCAACGATTAGGTAAGGTACCTTCCTCTTCTTTTCTTCTGATTATTACTTTTATTTAAATATTAGTTACTAACCGTCGTATGTATTAAATCTTATAATAATAATATGTTATCATATCGTAACAATTTTAATACGGTTTGTAGATGTACGGTAGGTGTAGGTCTAAGTTTTCAATAGTAAAATATGGGTGCATTTCCGATTCTGATCTCAGTAATCCAGAATAAACAAATTTACAAATTACAAGTGTTTATTAAAACATGCATTATTAGAAAACGATGTTGTAAAAGTTGGATTTAATTATGTGCATTTGAATTATATGATTTTAATTTATCATAAATATATAACACAAAAAGAACGTCAAGATTGAAACAATAATTTTTCAAAGCAATACAATCCTAAAAGATTATGTGCCTCTTTTCGAATATCTTCACAATCAAATTGTAAATCAGTCATATCGCTCGCTAACTTAATATTCTTCGTTGCTTTGAGTAGGTGGTGAATTTATACTGACCAGTTGAATTGTACAGATTTTTTTTTAACCTTGTCTGAAATAGATGCAATATCAAAAAATACACACAAAAAAAGCACAGACGCATCCCAATATCCCAGTTCTTTTTCTTTAGTGTTTAGATCTTCAGTCTCTTCTTTATACGTGTTTCTGTGTTTTAGATTTGGATGTAGATTAGAATTTTATGGGAAAGAGAAACGACATCGATTTTTGGAGTCATCTGGAAGGTGGAAAGAAGCTACTAAACAAGCAATTTTTTTTTTTGATTAACAAAAAACAAAATAGTTAAGAAGATTTGTGTGTCTCTCTTTTGTAAGCCAACGTACAGATATAACAGCTAAGCAGTTTCTTTAATAATGTATTTTAATCATTATTAAGTTATGTTAATAAAAAAAATCAGTAACCAAATCCAAAGTACAAATTAAACAAATCCCAAAAATTACATCAAAACAAAGAATCTCCGCCGACAGTTTTGTGAAGGTGAAATCGAAGTCTGCTTAGTTGAAAAGCCTCTTAGGCATCTAGAGGGTTTGCTACAGAGTCCACTAATTTTCGTAGGTCCCATTTCATAACACGTGTACAGTCATCCACACGTGTGAATATCGTCAACCCCTGGTCGCAAAGTTTGAAAACCACAAGGCGATCCGCACGTATGGGTTGCTCAATCATAGTAATTATGTTTAATGTAAAATGTTGACGATACTCGCATCATGATTGAACTTACCAATCACCATTTCTCTGTTTTTCGACAATATGATATCATATATGATATATCGCATGTTAACACGAGAGCAAATTAACAAAGTCGCGATACAAGGTTTTAACTTTTAACTTAGCTACTTAGGTGATTTGAATACAATTAGAGATAGTTTATTCCTCCAGGTATACGTACAAAATTAAGAAACCAGTCAAAAAACATCGGCTTACAATATAGTGGTCATAAATTTCTAACACTCCACCATCTAAACACATGTAAGTCGTAGCTATCAAGAATACATTGCATGTGCAATGCATATATTGCCTTGAGACATGCCAATTTATCACCATATCAAGTACTGTCGTCTTTATAGAAATACCTTTTTTTTTTGTAGTGATGTAGAAACTATATACGTCATTCTTTTTCATTTTTTTATATAATAAAATCGGTAGGAAACAATAGATGAAACAAATGGTCTAAAGTCGAAAAAGTAGCTACCAGTCTACCACTACCGTACGAACTAACCCATCCATAAATTTAATATATGGAAAAAATATATATTATAACAAACGCCAGGGAATGAATTTTCAGTTAGATTAAAACAAAAACAAAAAGAATCAAGATTCAAGAGCACCGTCCAATTCGGTTTCCATTGAGAAAAATTCAACAAAATATAGTCTCTTGACACTATACAACTACTTATACGTCATTGTCTTCTTATATTAAATATTGACATCTATGTCTATGTATCCCCTACACTCTATTTATTAGAATGACAATAAGTTATGTTCTTTCTACTTTTCAGCAAACTATACTCACTGAGTTTGTTGGAGTCCACTGTTTATGTGCGGCGTACACATACGCATATACATATGTTTTATAAAACTTAATATTTTCTCCATTGATTCACATCTGTTGTTGGATTCTACCTTTCTCATTGGACACTACAATGAAATATAAATTTCAATTTCAATTGATAACACTAGGAAATGATGTAATCATGCTTTTCAAAATATATAAAATAAGATAGTGAAAATCATCCTTAAACGAAAATGCAGACCAATGATCAATATAATTTTGTATGTCGTTTTCGTTGTATATACTTACACGTACGGTAGCACAAATAACTAAACTGTGTCGTGGGTTTACAAGCTATGTAAGTGTTATTTGAAATCGAAGGAATATCATGTAATTTTGTAAAGATTTGAATAATAACTAATGGATATCAAACAACACTTATTTTTTTGCTAAGAAAACAGCACTTGTTATTAGGGATTATGTTATATTGTCTACCACTGAAAATATCTTAGTATTGTGTGACCGTACACTCTTATTTGGTTATTTATGAATAAGGATGTTTGAAATATAGTAATATGCGAATGTTCAAAAAAAAATTATATATATATATATAGTAATATGCTTTTACCATGCTACACTTACGTAGTAGTGTAGTACGTACGTCTCGCGAAACTTTATTCATCATTCACCTCTCTTTCTTGGTTTCCTCCGTTATAGACTTTTAAAACTAAAACTTAACTATACCCACGCGTAGGGATTTGTATTCACATGGAATTACTAATTACTTTTAATAAATATGTGTATGGAAACAAACTATACATATATAGTAGTTTTTGGGTTAATCATGTCGCCATCGACAGATTTTTTTGCCTTTAATTACGACTTCATACATATAAGTATGTATGACCTACCACTAAAGTATAAATGATTAATGTTTCAAAAAAAAAAGTATAAATTATTACATTCTTTATATATCTTATCGGCTATCGCCTTACCGGTGCACATTTTAATTCTGTTAGTATGAATTTTGACTTTTCTCAACTTTGTACGTATGTTTAGGACCAGAAAATGTAATCTCGATATTGTAAATCTAGATGTCTTGTTTAATTCTTGGCATAGGATTTATAAATTAATTATTATAATTTTTTTGTTTAGTGGTAGATATAGAAGCGTTCGGTCGTCGAAATCGTCAGTGTTACACATTTTTGACATCGCAACCTATATTTTCAGCTTTTCCAAACAGCTAATCAACGCATGTTGTTGATAAAAACCAATTAAGTGGTTGTTTCTGATTTAGTTTGGTTTTTCTCTACACGCAACTACTTGACCATTCAATAATATGGCTGGTGTAAATTTCTGATTTAGTTTGTTTTTTCTTGAAAATTTCTGATTTAGTTTTTAGCCAAGAGATTCAGCTATCCAGAAAAATGAAATCTGTTGTTTAGAATATACATTCTACTCTCGTATGAACCATATTGCCACAGTTAAGGCTCGAAACTTTGGTCTTCTGTTTTTCAAATTTTCAAATTGTAGACAGATCCTAAAAGTAGGATAGTCAACAAGTCTAGCCCAATAAATGGAAAATTTAGTTTTGGGCTCAAACTTAAGTGGGTTTCCATAATATGTTTCTTATCAACAAGAAGTGGGTTATATACGTCATAGTACGTTTTTATCCAACTACTATATAATTTCTTATTATGAGTTTTTTTTGGTATTCTTTATCATTCCATAATCGTGGTTATATTATAATGTTTTTTCAAAAAACTTAAATATATAAAGTAGGATATAATCTAAATAATTTGAATTTTGAAGAATTTTAGAACCAAATGCAAAGACGTGCACTATCAAGGGGAAAATAAATGGTTTGTAAACTTCGTAATTTCGTGATCGAAGGATTGTCATCCACGTGTCAAACACGGATTGGAGGACCTACGATGAACGGAGGTACGTGTCGTTATACAATTGGCTGTTTACGTGAACGAGTCGCGTCGCGTGAGAAAAGACAAAGCCCATTCATAAAACGAAGAAGCTAGATTCTGAAAATTACGATCATTGACGCCACAAAGCCTGAAGAAGATATATTCTCCCTAACGATCAGAAAAATTTGTAAGCCGAATCACAGAGGTGAGTTCTCTTTTTTTATTCGAATGCTTATAAGATCTCTTAATCTGTTTCTGTGAATCATTCTCCACGACGTTTTATGATTCAGTGATCTCGTAATGTTTAGAGATAGAAGAATGTATAGATCCATGGATCTCAGATGCTTAGGGTTTTGTAAATTGACTGCGTGTATTTGTCTGATCTATGATGTTGATTTTGCTAGCTCACAGTGGAAATTTCCGATTATAAGACGATCTCTTGATTTGCATGCCCAATATTGCTTAGGCATCCGAGAACTTTTCGTTATATTGATTGGGATTCGCCAGAACTAATTTTTTTTTTTTTTTTGGGTTGTGATGAATCTTGATTCTCGATTAGCTATGGATCAGATTATCACGAATGATGATTGCATAGTTAGCTGAATCTGAATCTGAATCTGGATTGAGATAAGTTGATTGAACCCGGGAATGTAATCAGGTTAAATTAGATACATTTTTTTAAAATTAGAAATGTAGGACTAATTTAGATTTCATCTTTGATCTCTATGGTTATATAAAGATTTGGTGAGGAGAATTCTTTTTAATCATTCTTTTTTTTTGGGTTTCCTCTGTTCTTCAGTTAGTTTAAAAGCAAGAAGCAAAGCAAAAATGGTTGGTGGTGGAGCTCCGCAGAGAGGAAGTGCAGCTGCAACAGCAAGCATGCGGAGGAGGAAGGGCGGCAGCAGCAGCAGCGCCGGCGGTGGAGCATCCGGAGGAGGAGCCGGATCAATGCTTCAGTTCTACACAGACGACGCCCCTGGTCTCAAGATTTCTCCCAATGTTGTTCTTATTATGAGCATTGGTTTCATTGCTTTCGTTGCTGTTCTTCATGTCATGGGCAAGCTCTACTTTGTCAAGAGCAAATAAAGCGGAACAAGCAAACAACCAATGTCATACGTTTTTTGTTTTTTTTCACTGTTTAGATTTTTGTCAGTATAGTCATTTCATTCATGTTTTGAGTTTTTCTTTGAGTAGTAGTGTCCACTGATCGCAACACTCTGCAAATTTCGTCTTGTTCTTGATACGATTTCTCTCTTCCTGTTTCTTGGTTTTGGCCGAATATTAACTGAATTATACTATTGGTTTAGGTATTTTAGTCTGATGCATTTGCTTCAGTGCTTTGGATTTGACCGGTTTAGTGTATCGGAAAGAGGTTTAAAGCACTTGGAAATCACTTTTTAGGGGGATGTTTTGGCTTTGTTGGTGGTCGATTTAATTGAACCAAACCTAACCCATGTATAATTTATGGAATTCAAACTGCATACCAAATTATGGATTGGTTTTATAACCTATATTATATACATAAATAAGAGCAAATTGAATTTAATTCAATGACTATGGTAAGTTTCTTTAAGAAAGCATTAAACGGAATGGCCTCGTGAAATCTCATGATTTAATTCAACTTGTATGCCAGTATAATATATGCATGAAAATCTACCAACATGTACGATTGATTAATATATATTGTAATTCACAAAAAGCAGAGTCAATAGTGGTAGTTGAGAGGCTTTTATAACTGAAAAGGATAAAATTAAATGCAGCCAAATAAATCATTTAATGATATTACTTTAAGGAGAAACGGGAAACCAAAAAAAAAAAAAAAAAAAAAAATTCCAAATGAATACTAGTAACAAATTAATGACGTGATTAGCAGAGTTCGTTCAATTTAAACTAATACTGATATTTAATTCCTTAGCTCTCCGTCGCTCACGTGATCATCGCCGTTATGATTACGACACGTCACCAAACTCGTGACTCCAAAAACCCTCCAAAGAAACCCCCAAACCACAACGACGAAGACGCAAACGCGAATTATTGCGGCTGAAACGGCGGAAGTTGGACGGCCGAATCTAGTTGTTCCTTCTGTCGCCTGAGTTCCATAACTTTCCGGTGAGAGTTCGAATGCTGAGTAAGCACGAAGGTCGGGCTCGACGCCGGTCTGTACTCCGGCACAAGCCTCCCTGATTTGAAACGAACTCCACAGGCGTTGCAAAGCGTTTTCGGCCCAAGCGGTCCCGTCCTCCACTGAGGCGTTTTCTCCGACGCGCAGTGCGTGCACCTTCTCGCTCCGCCTCCGTCCGCCGTCATCGATTCGGCTTCGAATTTCTTGTTGGGCTTAGGTTTTGCGACGGAGTAACAAAGCTCGGATTCCGGCATCGGTGCCCAGGTCCCGGCTACGGAAGGTGCTGGGGCTCTTGATCGCCGGCTTCTGGGTTTTCCGGTGAACGACATCTCAGGCCTGACGGTCATGGTTAAGGGATTCGCTGGGTAGTCGGAGAACGAGTCATCGACGAATCGCGATAACCATTCCAGATGAGCTGCGTCGTCACTCTGCAAAAACGAAGAAGAAAAAATCACGAAAATCAAAGCCGGAACCCAGAAATTCTCAATCGAAATCACGCGAACTTGAATTGAATTTTAAACATACGGGAACGCAGAGATCATGAGTGAAATCGGTGAGGAGAGGAGGAGGACAAGTGTGGAAGGAATTGGAGGCGGAAGAGGGGAACTTAAGAGGGGTTTCTGAAGGGAACGAGGAAGATCCGGCGGAGGAAGCGGCGGAGGAAGTAACGGTGGAGGAAGAGGAGAAGATTTCGTCGTTGGAGAAGTCGAGAAGGTCGTCGATTCGAAGCAAGTCCGGTGAAGATAAGCCGTAGACGTCCATTATTATGGGTCTCTCCTCTCTCACACACACACACACACACACACACTTGGACTCGGAAACTGACTCAGACTCGGACTCGCTCACTCAGAATGTGGTCACTGGGTCAGGGCTTTAATATAGAAAGAGAGTAGGTACTGTGTAGTGATAGTGAAGAAAAAGACGGAGACGAGAACGTGCATAGAGTTAACATGCACCGAGACTGACCTGACCCAACCCCTTTTATATTTATTTTATCGACTTTAATTAAATTTGTCTACATTTTCTTCGAACATGCATGTGCTATTTACAAAAAAAAAAATATTATTTGAGACTTTGAGAGAATTGATTAACAAAACCAAACCAGTGCATATTAATATATGAAATACAACCGAATAAATTTTTAAAAATATATAGAATCCCGCTTTGATGGGTAGAGAGCAACCTACTGTATTTCGCAAAAAGCGATCAATTTGAAACTTCATTGAGTATATAAACAAAAGACAACCATAATTTACATCTATATCATCGATGTCATAGTGATTATAGTATGAGTTTAAGAAAGTATTCAAGCGGAAAATATACAAACGAAATGTTACAAACTTCTAAAATAATATGGATCTGTTATATGCTCAGCTCTTCTACTCTGTAAAAAAATATCAACAAAAAAAAAAATGAAACAAGGCTTTCAGAATTCAGTTTTTTTTTAATTGAAATGTTTGTTCTTTATAATTTTGGGTCCAATAAAGTAAGAAACATAAGGCAGAACTAGTTGTTCTATATTTTAGGGGGAAAAAATTGGATGATTAAATGAGTTTTTTTTGTATAAAAAATCACTTAACCATACAAGGCCTAAAATCGTATCTTGTATTGTTAATCAATCAATATATAAACCAATAAAAACAAAAGTTTGGAATTGAAATGCGAAATTACTATAAAGAATGTGTATTGAGAACAAAAATAAAATAATGTGATATATGTACTAACTGATGCCAAGGCGAACTATAGAGCAATCCCGACCGGAATGACGAGTTTTTGCTCGACTGTGTTTACAGAAATAATTCGCACTCACAAACGAAAAAGAGATGGAACTGACGAGATTTCAATCCTTGTAGAGTAGAGCATTTATACATAAAAGTTTGAAATCACTCGCTTCATCTCACTAGTATGTGTTTCATAAGTTTCACTACTATGAAACATCTCTGATAACATTTATTGATTTACTAGCGATGAAATTTTACATCACTCTTGAGAAACAGATACGAAATAATAATAGTTATGTAGTGGGAAATGGATGGATGGAGAGAAACAAGGAGATGAGTCGACCGACGATCCGAAGTGCATTGCACTTTGGTTCTATAAATTTACTATGGCCCTCTTTTTGTGTATATATATGCTTTCCTATCATTTATCTTCTTATGTCTCTGTCATGCATTGCTCCTTGCTTCTATATTTATTCCTTTTTTTTTGTTCTTTTTCAATTAGATAAATGATTTGTGTGTACATGACACATGCATGATATAAGAACGGGGAACCAAGTGTTATGAACATTGTTATCATATTCGGCTAAAAAATTAAATCATACATATGCTGATATGCATCTCTATCTTGTGCTCAATTTCTATGTAGCACCGCTAATCATCATAACACTTTTGTGTATATATATACTTCTTCCGTTCCTAAATATATGATATTTTAGATTTTTTTTTGTTCCACAAAGATTAATGTTTTAGAATATTAAATGTTTATTTTTTAGATTTCAAGAAAAGTAACTCAAATTATTTAAAATTTTAAATTACCATTGGTTAAGAGTTAGTATTAAAAAATAATTATTGTAATAAAGTAATGTATTAATGATTAAAAGTAACTCTTTTTTAATTTGTGTGAATAAACTAAAATATCATACTTTTTGGAACGGAGAGAGTATATATCTTTTTTCTTTTTTTGGGCGAGATATATATTGATGTGTTTTAATCTTCACAAAAAAATTACACGTTTACTGTTTACAGAGCATAGTCCAACAACAATATATATCTTCGAATCCGACTCTGCAGAGGCAGTTCACTTCAAGGCCTCGAAATTTCAGCGGCATGGTCCGGACTTCAATCTTAGCGACAAGTGAAGAAAGTAAGAAACTAGAGCTTTGACCTTTTTTTTCTTTCTTTTTAACTGTGGTTTGGATCTGTACTTACATTTGCGTATCAAAAAAAAATATGTACTTACCTATGCAATACAACAAAATTCGAAGGCGCTTCGTAAAAGACAAATTGTATGTTAATTGATTGAAACGTCCGCAGAATAAGCGTACTACAACGTGTTGAAGTGTTTGGTGTGTTTCCACAAACGTTTTTTTTCATTATCAAATAATTGCGTATGAACAAAAGAATCTGTCATTCAAAGAGGTAGTACAAATTATCTAAAATTTAAGAGTAGTTATGTATTTGTAAATACAGTTTAATTATTATTTTTGTTTCGTTTGTTGAGTTCAATCGTCTTGTTTCTAGAAACTGTATGCTAATTATCATTTGAAAAGTTTAACTAAAAATATAATAAAAAATAGTTTATATTAACGGCCCAAAAAAACAACTGCCTTAAGAAATATTTTAGTTATATGCATATTGATGCATTTTCATAACTATGCATGATGATGCATTTTCATAATATCACTATTAACCAACAAATAATACTAGTTCTGTAGTGTGTGCTAAAGGAGTTGCTCGGAAGCCGACAATTTTAATTATTGGCCTATCCATATAGAAGTTCTGAAGCTAAAATTCTTTTATTACTACACTTAAAAGGATACCAGTGAAAAATAAAGATGAATCAGTAAAGCCACGTGGCTCCATGTGGGGACCGTTCTCATCTTCACGTGCCCGTAAGATAAAAAGAAGACTTTTTGTGGTCAAACTACATAAAAAAGACGAAGCCATGAACATGAAGTGACTCACTTCAACTGAGAAGTAGGGGATAATTCTTGAAAAAGATTTTAATTACTACTTATTAAGTTTTAATTATTACTCGACTATGAAATCAACTTCATTTACACAGAACATGTGATGTTATATTTTCGGGCTGATAATTATATCATAATCTCTTGCAATTTATTCCTAAACTTATGAGAAAATCTTGGAAGAGAGGTTGCTAGGGTTAGATTACATCATATATATATATATTACTCAATAGTATTATATACTGCGATTGCAATATTCTAGCATTTGTTACTAAAACAATATGGCACGAAACGAGAGGATAGATTGTTTTTGTCACTTATATTCTCTATATATCCTTTTATTTAACTACCGACAGCAAATTTTCCAGCTGGCAACTTCTGTCTCATTCAGAAGGTTCCCTTTCATAGACCCCCCCTATAAAATTTCTCTTGTTTTTTATATTGCAAAGCTTTTTAATAGTTCTGAATTTGCTAGTAGGCAAAAGTTAACATAAGAAAATTTGTTTAGTGTTTCTTGCTATAAAATAGTTTGGGTTCGACCTTATCCGATAACTTAAATGAAATAGCAGAACATAGTTAAAAAAAATATTTTATTTTGTTGTCCTGAATTCGAAGTTTGAATTCTGGTAGTTTCTAAATTGCATACGTACTTAGTGGTACTTAGCCACGGCACCAGACCACATACATACCCACCGGCCAATAAGTTTTGAAAAATAAGAAAATTTGAAATCAAATAGAGTTATAAATTCTTAAATTAACAAAATTTAAATTAAGTTTTCAAAGCGAAAAATACAAATTTTCGTTTTTTATTAGAGAGATATGATTTATGATTTATGAAAAACTAAAATATTATTCAAATCAAAACGGTACAATGCCAAATTTGTATAATTTTAGATCAAATTTGTTTAGTTATTATCGAAGAAACAAAAACATAAACTTAAAGTAAAATGAAATGTATGGGTTAAAAGGTGCATTCATTGAAAATTAATATATTTTTATAATATGTTAGATGAGTATCCGCGTGATGCGCAGATTTTTATTCACAATATAATTTATTAAAAAGTGTAATTACACAATATAAATTTTTCTTAAGGATGTTGTATATTTGAATAACCATACAATATGTATTTACATATTATATAAATATTAAAAATATATGTGATAAATGGTTTATTGATAAGGAAATGTAAAATATGTTATACCTTATATATAAAATATATTAAATAGATATACTGCAAATTAGAGAAGTAATATATAACAAAATTTAATTAAAGAAACTCTTCAAGCACAACATAGGTAGAGACGACCTTTTTAACATGTTGTATTTGTTCACGACGCAGATTTACACAATGGCAATGCTGTCATTTTATATTTTTATGAGCTTAAATAATTGATTTATAATTCTAATTTATACACCTGCATTAAATATTTTATAAATAAATATATTAGAACTTTGATATCTTATTAATTCAAAATTATTAATGGATCAAGTTTGAATAAAATAAATTATCAAATAATCATTAGTTTATAAAGAAATTATTTTAAAGTTTATTATAATATTGTATAAATTTTTATTCTAACTTTTTAGGTTTAAAATATCAAATAATCATTATTTTATATTTGTATAACTGTTTTATAATAATAACTTATAATATTAAATAGAAATAAGAAAACACTATTAAATAAGAAACATAAATTTTTTTTTGTCAATTTTAGAAAACTACCAAAAAATAGATATTCAATAATATTCTTTTAGTATTATGATTAATACATTAAATTTATGCATTAAATATATTTTATAATCATAATATCTTAATACGTAATGCATCAAGTACATTAAATCTCCAATTAAGTTTAATAATTTATATCATTAAATTTTAAAAAATGACACATGTCATTTCTACAATAAACCAAAATGACACATGTTATTTTATATTTGTATAACTGTTTTATAATAATAACTTATAATATTAAATAGAAATAAGAAAAAATTCTTAAATATAAAACATAAATTTTTTTGTCGATTTTAAAAATCTATTACAAAATAGATATTCAATAATTATTTTTTATTTTT